GTAGGTTGAGACTGCAGTGAGCTGAGATCCCACCATTGCACTTGGGCCTCTGTGACAAAGTGAGACCCTGTCTCAAAAAAAAAAAGTCCCTAAGCTTTGGTGTAATTTGTTATGTACAGTAGATAACCAATACAATGGTTTTCATGTAGACACATTGCCATCCTAGCAAGAGGAGAACAATTCCAATTACTTAAAAGCCTTTAGATATTGTTATTATCCCACAAACTCTGAAGGAGGCAGATACAGAGTTTTGCTCTTGTCACCCAGGCTGGAGTGCAATGTCAGTATCTCAGCTCACTGCAACCTCTGCCTCCCATGTTCAAGCAATTCTCCTACCTCAGTCTCCCAAGTAGCTAGAATCACAGGCATGAGCCACTATGCCCAACTAATTTTTGTATTTTTAGTAGAGACAGGATTTCTCCACGTTGGCCAGGCTGGTCTCGAACTCCTGACCTCAGGTGATCTGCCCGCCTTCCCTCCCAAAGTGCTGGGATTACAGGTGTGTGCCACCGCACCTGGCAATAAATTATTTATTTGAATATAATCGGGATACGACTGCAGAGATCTCAGATTTCAACGTGTTTTTGTCCAATACTTGTACATTCAGGTTATAACCATTTCAAAAATGGTCTGGCAATTCATGTATGGCCTGTGGTGTTAGGGTTTCAGATGTGTATGTGGGATATGTGTGGTTTAGGAAAAGAAACTCTGCAACTTTACAAAGCGCTGGACATACACTAGCTAGCCTTCTCTTCACTCCTGTCATTACTGATCTGTTTTCCCCATTTTAGCAAATGGTCAAGATTTATCCCTAGAGAAAGAGTCAGCTTGTGGTCAAGTTCACGTTTGATAGATCTTCTCAGATCTAAAACTGAAAGGGAGAAGCTTAAAATAACAGAAAGAGAAAATAAACGAGTGGGGGGCGGGGAGCTGAAATAATTTCCTATGGTTGCTGCAACAAATTACAACAAATCTAGTGGCTTTAAACAACACAAGGCCCAGCTCGGTGCGGTGGTGCAAGCCTGTAATCCCGGCACTCTGGGGGGCCATGGGGAGACAACTGCTTGAGCTCAGGAGTTTCAGACCAGCCTGGCAACACAGTGAGAACTTGTCTCAAAAATAGAAGGAAGGGAAGGGAAGGCAAAGGAAGGGGAGGGGAGAGGAAGGGGGTGGGGGAGGGAAGAAAAGAAGGAAAAAAGGAAGGAAGGGAAGAAGGGAAGGAAGGGAGGGAGAAGAAAGTAAGAAAAGAAGGAAGGAAGGGGGAGGAAAGAAAGAGAAAGAGAGAGAAAGAAAGAGAAAGAAAAAGAAAGAAAGAAAGAAAGAAAGAAAGGGAAAGAAAGAAAAGAGAATAAACTCCAAAAGCCAAAAACCACCTCACCAATTTATTATCTTACAGTTCTGGGGGTCAGAAGTCCAAAATGGGTCTTCATGAGCTAAAAACCAAGGTGTCATCAGGCCTGCATCCCTTCTTTTTGTTTTAATTCTTTTTTTTTTTTTCTTTGTAGGGATAGTGGTCTCACTCTAATGCCCAGGCTGGTCTTGAATTCCTGGGCTTAAGCGATTCACCCATCTCGGACTCCCAAAGTGCTGGGATTATAGGCATGAGTACATGCACCTGGCCTTACTCTTGGGTTTTTTTTTTTTTTTTTTAAGGAAAAGTGTGGTTTAGACACTTAGAAATGTCTTTGTTGAAAACAATTTTTTCTAAGTGCACTGTAAAAGCATCACATGATCTAATCTCATAATTCCCCATTTTGGAGACCCAAGATTCAATGTGGGCTCTGCCCAGAGCTCAGAGATCCAGTTGAAACATAGGTAGGCCCTATCTAAATAAAATTGATCTCCTTATACAATCCATGATTGATTTCTATAATTTTAAGTTTGATTTGGCATTGGTCTTTCATCTTTTTCTAGCACCACCGGGCTTTTTCTCTCTGTACTTAATGATGTAAATTTTTCTATTTGATTTTCACCTGAGTTGTTCCCTTTATTAGGCACATTTAAGGCTATTTAACTGACAATTGCCTAGGGTTTGAAACAGATGATCAAGTATCTGAAAGTCTAAGATGGGGGAAAAAGGTGTTTATAAGTTTATGAGATGTAATTCTTCGTTCTTTTCTTTTCTTTTTTTTTTTTTTAGATGGAGTCTTGCACTGTTGCCCAGGCTGGAGTGCAGAGGCACAATCTCGACTCACTGCAACCTCCACCTCCCAGGTTCAAGCAATTCTCCTGCCTCAGCCTCCCGAGTAGCTGGGATTACAGGTGCCCACCATTGTGTCCAGATAATTTTTTGTATTTTTAGTAGAGACAAGGTTTTGCCATGTTGGTCAGGCTGGTATCAAGCTCCTGACCTCAGGTGATCCACCCACTTCAGCTTCCCAAAGTGCAGGGATTATAGGCCAGAGCCACTGCGCCCAGCCTATAAGATGTATTTCTACTGGCGTGCCTAATACGTCTATGGATTTATGCATTGTGTACACAATGTTTCACTACCAAAAATATATAAAAGAGCTTTAATTAATTGGCTTAAAGAAAAATAAAAGAACTTAAATACTTTATCAGAAAAAGGAAAAACTAGTCAAATTATTTTTCAAGTTTACATGACTTAAGTAAAATCTTTGATAAAAAGTAAATAAATCCCACAAGGAAATTTTGTTGTTCTAATCAATTCTTTAGTGTATGAGTGTTTTTGTTTTTCTTTTTTTTACCTCAAACCCAATGTCTAGAAAGACCTTTATAATTTCCCATTAATTATGGACAACTTGATCACATGAAAGTTTTTTTAGGCTGGGTGCGGAGTCTCACACCTGGGCATGGCAGCGCATGCCTGTAATCCCAGCTACTCGGGAGGCTGAGGCAGGAGAATCGCTCGAACCTGGGAAGGGGAGGTTGCAGTGAGCTGAGATCACACCATTGCACTGCAGCCTGGGCAACAAGAGCGAAACTCCATCTCAAAATAAATAAATAAAAGACAAAAAATTGGCTGGGCATAGTGGCTCAAGCCACTATAATCCCAGCACTTTGGATGGCTGAGGTGGGCGGATCACCTGAGGTTGGGAGCTCGAGACCAGTCTGATCAACATAGAGAAACCCTGTCTCTACTAAAAATACAAAATTAGCCGGCATGGTGGTGCATACCTGTAATCCCATTTACTCAAGGGGCTGAGGCAGGAGAACCTAGGAGGCAGAGGTTGTGGTGAGCTGAGATTGTGCCATTGCACTCCAGCCTGGGCGAGAAGAGTGAAACTCTGTCTCAAATAAATAAATGATACAAAAGATTAGCTGGATGTGGTGGTGCACGCCTGTAGACCCAGCTATTCTGAAGGCTGAAGTGACAGGATCACTTGAGCTCGAAGGTGGAGGCTGCAGTGAGCCGTGATAGCAGCACTGCACTCCAGCCTGGGTGACAGAGTGAGACCTGATCTTAAATAAATAAATGAATAAATACAAATAAAGAAAGTTTTTTTTAAAAAAAAAATCTTTCTGTAACATTTGAAAATGTTGCTAATGAAGCTGCTGCCTCCATCGAAGCTCAACAAAAAGCTATTGATTCTTTGGCTAAGGTTGTACTAGACCATTGCATTGCTATAGATTATATACCAGTGGAGCGAGGTGTGTATATAACGGCAAATCCTGCTCGTTGTGTATACACAAATATTTCCCATGAAATAGAAACTCAGCTAGGAAAAATTAGAAAAGAACTCACTGGCTACAACAAGTTCCAGAGAAGAATCTGAATTTAATTTTCTTCATTACATTTCTATGCACTCATTTATTTGTTTGTTTATTTATGTATAGAGACCGAGTCTTGCTCTGTCACCCAGGCTGGAGTACAATGGTGTGATCTTGGCTCACTGCTATCTCCGCCTCCTGGATTCAAGTGATTCTCCTGCCTCAGCCGCCCAAGTAGCTGGGATTACAGGGGCATGCCACCACGCCCAGCTATTTTTTATATTTTTAGTAGAGATGGGGTTTCACCATGTTGGCCAGGTAGTCTCAAATTCCAAACCTCAGGTGATCTGCCCATCTTGGCCTCCCAAAGTGCAGGCATCACAGGTGTGTCACCCCACCCAGCCCTTCATTACATGTTTAGTTGGCTCCCTAAGGAAATTGGTTCTTTTTTTCATTCTGCATACAAATTTTCTTTTTATAATCCTTACATACATTACATTTCTACTATTCAAACTATTAATGCTATGTATGTCTCTCTCTTTCTCTCTCTTTTTTTTTTTTTTTTTTTAAGACAGGGTTTCACCATACTCGTCAGGCTAGTCTCGAACTCCAGACCTCAGGTGATCCGCCCATCTCAGCCACCCAAAGTGCTTGGATTACAGGCATGAGCCACCACGCCCAGCTGGAAACTCTTTAAAATTATATTTTGTGCCTCTGATTTTCCTTTAGGTTGACAATCCTAGACAATCTTTCTTCTTATATCAACTTCCCTCTCTGCCTCATTCAGCCCACCTACAATTTTGTTTTTCATCTTTTCTGAGGAAATGAGATCTTTGGGTATAATTTCAAGTTCAGGAAAGATGGCAAGAAACCCTCTACATCCCAAGAAGTTATTGTTTGCTGTTTGCTTAGAGGCAGAAATACCCCAGGGCTCCTGGTTTTATCAGGTACATGCAGTGTCTAGGGAGCACTCTGAATGCCCCTACTAATTGCCAGCATGTTTTTTTTTTTGAGATGGAGTCTCGCTCTATCACCCAGGTTGGAGTGCAGTGGTGTGATCTCAGCTCACTGCAACCTCCGCCTCCTGGACTCAAGTGGTTCTCCCACCTCGGCAGCCCAAGTAGCTAAGACTACAGGCATGCACCACCATGCCCGGCTAATTTTTGTTTTTTGTTGTTGTTGTTGTTTGAGACAGAGTCTCACTCTGTTGCCCAGGCTGGAGTGCTGTGGCACAATCTTGGCTTACTGCAACCACCGTCTCCCGGGTTCAAGTGTTTCTTCTGCCTCAGCCTCCCGAGTAGCTGGGATTGCAGGCATGCACCACCACACCTGGTTAACTTTTTTATTTTTTTTAGTACAGATGGGGTTTCATCATATTGGCCAGGCTAGTCTCGAACTCCTGACCTTGTGATCCACTGCTTCAGCCTTCCAAAGTGCTGGGATTACAGGTGTGAGCCACCATGCCATGCCAAATTTCCAGCTTTTAAGAACTGTACAAAAAAAAAAAAAAAGAAGAACTGTGCTCAGAACTTATCCATAGTACTTTCCAATCCACATACATTTTTGGTTAAGATTTCTTTTGCAATTTGAATATTTTCTTCTCTTTTTTCCTCCCATCTCTCTTTCCCTCCTTCCTTTTTCTCTGCCTCCTCCTCTTCTTTTGACATGTTGGAGCTACAGTACAAACTGGAAAACATTGATTTATTTACGTCCTCAGCTTAATAGGGATCTCCAGCTGTATCTTCATTTCCCAAGGAAGAATCTCATGACCAAACCATTCATTGTGGCCACCTGAAGCATCTGTAAAATATAGCTTAGATGGTCAATGCTATAATAAAGAGACAGATTATGCAAGGCCTTAATTTATCCTCAAACCAAAATTATGAGCACAATAACATCAATATCCAACCAAGGCTATTTCCGGCCTTGTCGTTTTTGATGAATGAGGAAGAAAGATCTGCTAGTATGATCAAATCCAAGCTTTTATTCAATACATAAATGTTGAATTTGACTAGCTCAATTTATGCATCCTTCTGATGGTACAACTAGGAAGGCCTGAAAAATTCATGTAAAAACCTACAATGGTGGCTAAGAAGCTGAGCTACGGAGAGTTTCACAGGCTTACTAGTGTGCTCCGTGACAAAATGTAAAAAGGACCCCGTTTTATATTTAGTATCAAAAACTTTACTAAATTATTTGAGCTTGGCAGTCCTCACACAGTGTTTCTTTCTTTCTTTTTTTTATTGAGAAGGAGTTTCGCTCTTGTTACCCAGGCTGGTGTGCAATGGCGTGATCTCGGCTCACATAAACTCTCCACTCAGCCCAACTGCATGCTTCTCACTGTCCTGTACTCTTGACTGTTCCAGATATAGGTAGTTGTTATTCTGAAGCTTATTCTTTTGCCTTATTTATTAATTATTATTATTATTTTGAGACGGAGTTTCGCTCTTGTTACCCAGGCTGGAGTGCAATGGCGCGATCTTGGCTCACCACAACCTCCGCCTCCTGGGTTCAGGCAATTCTCCTGCCTCAGCCTCCCGAGTAGCTGGGATTACAGGCACGCGCCACCATGCCCAGCTAATTTTTTGTATTTTTAGTAGAGACGGGGTTTCACCGTGTTGACCAGGATGGTCTCGATCTCTTGACCTCGTGATCCACCGGCCTTGGCCTCCCAAAGCGCTGGGATTACAGGCTTGAGCCACCGCGCCCGGCCCTCACACAGTGTTTCTTTTTAAAAATTTTAATTTCATAGGGACAGTGTTCCACTGTGTCACCCAGGCTGGAGTTCCACAGTGTGATCATAGCTTACTGTAGCCTTGAAGTCCTGAGGCTCAAGAGAGCCTCCCACCTCAGACCAGGCACGGTGGCTCACACTTGTAATTCCAGCACTTTGGGAAGCCAAGGCGGGCAGGTCACCTGAGGTTGGGAGTTCAAGACCAGCCTGCTCAACATAGAGAAACCCCATCTCTACTAAAAATACAAAATTAGCTGGGTGTGGTGGCACATGCCTATAATTGCAGCTACTAGGGAGGCTGAGGCAGGAGAATCGCTTGAATCTGGGAGGCAGAGGTTGTAGTGAGCTGAGATCACACCATTGCACTCCAGCCTGGGCAACATGAGCAAAACTCCATTTCAAAAAAAAAAAAAAAAAAAAAAATAGAGCCTTCCACCTCAGCCTCCTGAGTAGCTCAGACTATAGGTGTGTGCCGCCATGACTGGCTAATTTTTAAATTACTTTTGTGGAGATAGGGTCTTGCTATTTTGCCTAGGCTGGTCTCGAACTCCCAAGTGATACCTCTGTCTTTCCATCTTGTCCTGACAAAAGTCATGGGATTACTTTTTTTTTTTTAATGATATGGCCAGCACTTTTTTTTTTTTTTAATGATATGGAGTTTTTTTTCTTGTTATCCAGGCTGGAGTGCAGTGGTGCAATCTCACCTCACTGCAGCCTCCATCTCCCAGGTTCGAGACTGCCCCCCACTTCAGATGATGATCAGAAGTAATGGGTCCCCAGAATCAAGAGTTCCCCTAAGCCCCCTTCATGTTCAATAATTTGCTATAACAGCTCAGGCATCTCAGGGAAACACTTTACTTATGTTTACTTACTTGTTTATTATAAGGGATACAGATGAATGGTGAGATGAAGAGGTACACAGGGCAAAGGTCTCTGGAAGGGTCCCAAATGCAGACATGTTTGTCCCTGTGGAGTTTGGGGTGTGTTGACCTCATGGTTTGTGGATGCATTCACCAACCTGGAAGCTCTCCGAACCTCATCTCCATCGTTCAGGGGTTGCTTTTTTTTGTTGTTTTTTGAGATGGAGTCTCGCTCTGTCGCCAGGCTGGAGTGCAGTGGCTGGATCCTGGCTCACTGCAACCTCCCACCTCCCTCAGGTTCAAGCAATTCTGCCTCAGTCTCCTGAGTAGCTGGAACTACAAACATACACCACCACACCCAGCTAATTTTGTATTTTTAGTAGAGAAATACAAGGTAGTTTCACCACATTGGCCAGGATGGTCTCGATCTCTTGACCTCGTGATTCTCGGCCTCCCAAAGTGCTAGAATTACAGGTGTGAGCCACCACACCCTGCCAGTATAGGGAGTTTATGGGAGCTTCATTACATAGACATGATTAATGAAAGCATTGGTCAGGAGCGATTCACTAAATCTCCAGCCCCTCTTTCTTCCCTGAAAGTCAGAGGGTGGAACCGAAAGCTCCAACCCTTTAATCATGCCTTGATCTTCCCGGTGATGATATGATTTGGTTGTGTCCCCACCCAGTGATGATGGTCACGTCGGCGTCACCACCTGAGACGCTGATCACCACCTGCGGGGGTCTGTCCTGCAAACCCTGACTTCACAACGGATGAATAAGAACACTCACAAATGGAGTACAGTGAATGAGTGGGCTAGGGAGGTCGTCGGCTGTTCTAAGAGGGCGATTGCAGCTACTTGACCCCCCACTAGCTTTTCCTCCTTGCATTTATTCAGTACAGTTTTAATAACAAAGGTTTTGAGTGAACACACTTGTGGATAATTAACATGGTTAAGAGAGTAGTTCTTAAGATTAAGAGTGGTTCTTAAGATTAAAGCTTAGGTACCTATTCCAGAGCAAACACCATTAAAGGGTAATTTCCCCGGTTGACCTTCCCCCTAGAAGGCCATCTTAGAGTAGAGACAAAGGAATGTGGGGTAAACGCGGGGGATAGACTTAACTGGGGAAACTTCTATTATCCCTAATCTTTACCCTATGACCTAATGCTCTAAGGTAAGAACCTAATGCTCTAAGGTAAGAACAAGTTAAGAACAAAAGACTATATGTTACAGCTTTCCCTAATACTTCCCTTAATATTTTGCCAACCACCCTGGGTAAATCCCAACACTATCCAAATTTCATCTTGATTTGTAGTTTCTATAATCCCCACATGTCATGGGAGGGACCTGGTAGAAGATAATTTAGTCGGGGGGGTGGTTACCTTCGCACTGTTCTCGTGATAGTGAGTCCTCACAAGATCTGATGGGTTTTTTTGTTTTGTTTTGTTTTTGAGACGGAGTTTTGCTTTTGTTACCCAGGCTGGAGTGCAATGGCACAATCTTGGCTCACCGCAACCTCCGCCTCCTGGGTTCAGGCAATTCTCCTGCCTCAGCCTCCCGAGTAGCTGGGATCACAGGCACGTGCCACCATGCCCAGCTAATTTTGTATTTTTAGTAGAGAGGGGTTTCACCATGTTGACCAGGATGGTCTCCATCTCTTGACCTCGTGATCCACCCACCGCGGCCTCCCAAAGTGCTGGGATTACAGGCTTGAGCCACCGCGCCCAGCTAGTTCTGATGGTTTTATTATTTTTTGTTTTTTTTGAGAGAAGGAAAGAAAAACAAGGAGTGAAGGAGAGGAAGAAAGAGGAAGAAAAAGAGGGAGAGAGAACGGAAATGTTGCTTTATTCTAAAAAAATGGGTATTAATAATGGCCAATCAATATTTCATTTAAACCTATGAGTAGGTGTGATGTGGTATTGACAAGAATGTATATTTTGTGTGTTTAAAGTGGAGAGCTCTATGAATATTTATTAAGTTTACTTGTTCCGGATCTGAGTTCGAATCCTGAATATCCTTATTAATTTTCTGTCTCATTGAGTCTAAGTCTCTATGTATCTGGGTGTTAGGATTGTTAGCTCTTCTTGTTGCATTGATCCTTTTACCACTATATCTTTGTTGCTTTATAATATATTTTATCAGATACGAGAATTGCAACTCCTGCTTTTTATCTACTTATTTATTTTTGCTCTCCATTTGGTTGGCAAATCTTTCTCCATCCCTTTGTTTTGAGTTTTTGTGTATCCTTGCATGTGAAATGGGTCTGGATGTAGCATACCATTGGGTTTTGGCTATATGTTTTGATTGGGGGATTTAGTCGATTTAATTTTAGGATTACTGCCATTTGATGTTAACTGGCTGTTTTATCCATTCGTTGATGTAAATTCTTCTTTATGTTGGTGCTCTTTACTTTTTGGTATATTTTTAGAAAGGCTAATACTGGTTGTTTCTTTCTGTGTGTAATGCTTCTTTCAGAAGCTCTTGTAAAGCAGGCCTGGTGGTAATAAAATCTCTGAGTACTTGCTTGTTCATAAAAGATTTTATTTTTCCTTCAGTTGTGAAGCTTAGTTTGGCTGGATATGAAATTCTGGGCTGAAGGTTCTGTTCTTTAAGGATGTTGAATATCGGCCCCCACTCTCTTCTGGCTTGTAGAGTTTCTGCTGAGAGATCTGCTGTAAGTCTGATAGGCTTGCCTTTGCGGGTAACCTGACCTTTCTCTCTGGCTGCCCTTAGTATTTTCTCCTTTGTTTCAACCCTGGTGAATCTAACAATTATGTGCCTTGGGGTTGCTCTTCTTGAGGAATATCTTTGTGGTGTTCTCTGTATTACCTGGGGTTGAATATTGTCCTGCTTTGCTAGGTTAGGAAAATTTTCCTGAATAATACCCTGAAGAATATT